CACCCTGTCCCTAGAGCCTGGCACTTTGAACTTGGAGTTAAAGCCTCCAAACTGTAAGAGAATAAACTCCTGTTGTTAAGGCCATCCCATTTGTGGTATATTCTTGTCAGAGTGGCACTAGGTAACCAGAAGAGTACCTATGCAGAAAGGTAATAGTTGTTTTCTTTTTTTTTAAAGACTATCTTGATACTGTCTGTACTCCCCATTGTATATGAAATTATGTCATGTAAAATTACATATGTGTATATATGTATAAAGATATATTAACATAAAACAGGGAGCTATTTCCAAGAGCAACTGTGTCTGAGCATCATTCTCAAGATAGGGCCTGCTGTGGTTTTAAGTACATGCTGGAATGAATGAAGAAGAGCTCTCAAAAGTGAGCTGTTCCTGGAGCAAAGTCAGGTTCTATAGGGGCTGGAGATTTCAGCAGAGGGCTAGGTCTTCTGGCAGCCTCATGGCTTAATCAAGCAGATGGCAAAAGGCCTGAGTCTCAGACTTTGGATGACAACTGAGATTGGAAACCAGGGAGCAGAGAGCCAGAGGCCCGGGTGGGATCTGGTTACCTGGATCTAGGCAGAGGGTTGAGTACTGGGCACAGGGAATTGACTGGATGCTAAGACTAAGATCTCTGTGCTATAGGTTCTTCCTACCCAGGGCTGGAACTGGAACTGTAGGGAGGGAGGGCTGTTGTACCCTAAGATGGAGGTGATGGGTAGGTATAAGTAGAGTTGGGGTGAGAACAGACAGTGACAGAATTCGTATTTTTCTCAGCCATAAAACATTGTCCAGAGAATGCATCTTTAGGGAAAAATACTTTACAAACCATAATTGAATGCTCTTAAGTTTTTGTTGATAAACAGTTAATAATGCATTGACTTCCTTTTTTCTTGGTCCCTTTCCCTGTTAACCAAGCTGGATGTGTGGAATCTGGTGAAAATGTAACAAATACAACTTATGTTTTCTCCAGGAGGAATCTTAAAAGGTATGCAACTGAGGGAATATTTGAGATGTTTATTCTTTTTGCTTTTGTTGAATAACAGTGCTTTTTTGTAAAACTGTGATTTTTCTTTAAGGCCTATTGCTCATCTTCCATGCCCTGGGAAAGCAACGCTTGCTGTTCGCTGCTGTCCAGTCTACTTTGAGTTGAGGCCGGTGGTGGAAAAAGGTACCATTAGAGCTACTGTGGTTTGTAATGTGTTCTCTCTGAGGCACATCTGTAGGAGGAGGGTCATGATTTGGTTTCTGTGTTGGGAAAAGTGAATGTCTGTCTAAGTTTGGTTCAGTTAAAGAAAAAAACAACTCACTGCCACTGAGTCAATTTCAATTCATAGCGACCTCTCCTTGGGTTTCCAAGGCAGTGTCTCTGCAGAAGTTTGTTGTTGTTGTTGTTGTTTGCCGTCGAGTCGGCCCCGACTCATAGCGACCCCTCCTTGGGTTTCCGAGGCAGTATCACTAC